TCTTACATTATTGCTATTTAAAACTAATATGACCAAACAAGGCGATTCCTTAATAGGCATCTTCTTCTTCATGTGCTTCTTCTTCCTTTTATATAGACATGACTGTGTCAATTTTTCAATGTGCCTCCAGTAAGTTGTCCCATCGTGGTCTTTCTACTGATCGTCTTTCTATTGGAAAACCGTCTCTTGCCGTATTTACTACTCTATGTGTAGTCATTCGGTTTATATGATCGTTCCATTCTTTTATTTCTTAAATAGTTCTTGATGTTCTCATAGTGTCTTACCATCAATTTTTCGAAATGTTTCCATCTCTGCTGTTTCTAACATCCTTTTTGTCGCGATATTTTTATTTTCGCGATTTTCACGATATTTTTATTTCTCCATATTGTTTCATTCAGGCAGCCTGCTGCTCTATTTGCTCTAGTCACTTGATCTTCCACGTTTCGAGCTTTCCGTAGCTAGATAATGCGATGCCTAGATATTTAAACTTCATCACTTGTTCTGTTATCTGACCTTCCAGCTCCAATTTACATCTTAGTAATTTTGCTGTTTTAACCATGCATTTTGTCTGTTGTGGGGAAAATAACATGTTAAATTTTCTGGCGGTTATATTAAATTGATGCAGCATACGTTGTAAATCATCTTCACTTTGAGAGAGTAGAATTGTGTCGTCTGTATAGCAGATTATTTTAAGTTGTTTTTCTCCCATTTGGTATCCTTTTTTTAGTTCTTACTTTTTTATTATTTCATCCATAATCAGGTTAAACAATAGAGGGCTCAGGGAATCTTCCTGTCTTATATCATTGCCAGCTTCAATAGGGTCAGTTAGTTTTTCTTCTACTTTTACTTTTATTGTGTTCTTTTGGTAGACATTTTTGATCGTTTTGATTATTCCTAGAGGTATCTCTCTTGCTTACAGTAAGTGTTTAACGTTTTTTAATTTGGCCCGGCCAAATGCCTTCTTAAGGTCCACGAAACATAGATATGCCGGTTTGTTGTATTCTAATGATTTCTGTTGCACTGGTCTCATTATAAATATAGGGTATTGATTTTCCTATCCAGTCTTTTTTGTTTCCTGTTGGAAAATATCGAACTTAGTAATGAAGTTCGTTTCGGTTCGTAAATGCCCCTTTGTCCGCTTCTCGTCGATCCATGATGATAGGGTTAATAAATGTTGAAGTTGTGGAGTAAAAGTGATGATTTATTGACAGCAACTCGTAATTACACAATATGGTGTTTGTTCGGTAACTACTCAATATTGACTGTGTTCATTTGAACTCAAATCCCCCAATTTAGAATCTCACACATAATAGATACATAAGCACCTTAGGTCATTGCTTCGTTCATATCACACCACCTAACTTTTGCTTATAATACAATTTAATCTACGCCTTAATTGCGACACTTAGGAAGTTCAATTAGAAAATATTATTATTCGGCAATTGATTTAGTTGTAGGTAAATAAACTAATTATTAAATTATCATACGATATGGTTTTGCAATATATATAATGCAAACTTATACACGGTGAAACTATAAAAGATTAAGAAGTTAAGAATAATGTGAGATTACAAATTAAGGGGTTAATTTGTGATTGAACACTGTAGAGCACAAATGTCTATTTCTTTCCTTAATTTTTTTATACCGAGATACATAATATGATTTCAGCCTGTACACTTTAGTATGTACCAGTACTAGTGCCGTAGTAAATGTGTTTACAATTTATTAATTAAATTATAATATGTATTGGAAGGTCTTTGATATGGGTTTAATTCTTTATACACATTAGTTGTTTCCTTGTATATATTATTTCCAGTGTTGAATTATTGGAATGATCGAATTATTGGATTGTACAGAAAAATTCATAATAATTAAAAAAAGACATTTCGTAAAAGGAACAGTTTTTTATCATATATATTTAGCTAATTACATAGTTAACATCCACCAATCTATCTATTTAAACCCTTTTTTATCCATAGGCTTTCCCTTATGATTTTCATTTTTCTCTATCCACAGCGATGTTCATTCATCTTGAAACAACATGTCTCTTGAAATCATATGCCTATTTTACTGTGGACTTACTTTTTGTAGTTTGTTTATTGTAATTCAATTATTGGGCTGTCATCGTCAGAGCTGTTATTAGATCATAGGTTTATCTTCACTATTGACATCGTCAAGTGAGTCACCATGAAGACTTAAATCTGATGATTCGCTACTTGAGGAAGTAATTAAATTTTATCTACTTGTTCTCGTCTCTTTTTTATCTGCAGGTTCACGACTTGCCAGAACGTCTGGTTAACGACATCTGATAAATTTTAGAAGCTACTGTAGTTTACTGAGTCTTCTTCTCTAAGGATGATCAAACTTGGTGCAAAGGCAGCTTCAGTATAGCGTCTGTTCTAAAACCCGAGATAATGTTTGTTAGTGTCATTGCTTTTAGACTTCTTCTTCTTTTTGTGCCACTCCTATCGGAGATTGGAAATCATCAAGGCTATTCTGACCTTGTTTACGGCTGACCTAAAGAGTTCATTAGTGGTGCAGCCAAACCACTCTCTCAAATTCCGCAACCATGACATTCTTCTACGGCCTGGACTCCGTTTTCCTTCTATTTTGCCCTGCATTATATTTTGAAGTAATGCGTATTTATGTCCTCTCATCAGGTGACCAAAATATTCGAGTTTTCTTCGCTTTAGCGTTAACAAAATCTCTGGGTCTTGTGCTTTTAGACAAACTGGAGTAAAAATTTCTACAAACCTCATTTTGATAATCGCCTTGTCATGGTTTGTTGTTAAAACTTCATGACCGTTATCGATCGTCGGATATCATGTTGGTTACCATATTCGCTATCGTGAATTTATTGATAACAGGTCTAAATAGTGATGTAGTTGATTTTCTATACCATTGTATAGTTATATATTCTATACCAATATCTTTGTTTGCGACGATAGATTTTGAGCCAGGGGGCAAGTGATCATACCATTTCAGGTTAAAACCTTTGGTCTTTAAAAAGCACAAAAGGGGTACTCGTTTTGTTCTCCTCTAAGCGAAAACATATATAATATCAATACTTTTGAACAAGCGCATTGACAGTAAAATGATAAATATAGTCTAAACATTATATTGGAACCAAAGTGCCATAGTTCAAATTGATGGGCAACACTCAGAAGAAATGAGGATCTGTAGAGGAGTTAGACAGGGATGTGTTTTATCACCACTTTTGTTTAACCTATATTCTAAAGAAATTTTTCAAAACACGCTCAATAATATCGAAGCGGGAGTCACTGTTAACGGAAAATTAATTAACATCTTAAGATATGCAGACAACACTGTGATCATAGCAACGAGTATAGAGAATCTACAACATCTTATCGAAAGCTTGAGTACGAATAGTGCTGAGATGGGAATTACTATAAATGCTAAAAAAACGAAGTGCATGCTAATTACAAAAAGACCATAAAATATACATCACCTATTGACAATCAATGTTAACGTGATAGAACAAGTAGACAAATATCAGTACTTGGAACTTTGATCAATGAAACCAATGGTTATACTGTAGAAATAAACAGGCGAATAGAGATTGCCAGATCAGCATTTATACGAATGAAGCCACTCCTAACGTGCAAAAATCTAAATGTGGGGATCAGACTACGTACCATTCGCTGTTATATATTTTCAATATTATTATATAGTGCTGAGACTTGGACATTAAAAAAATGTAGTTTAAAAAGAATCGAGGCCTTTGAACTCTGGTTATACTGCAGAGTATTGAAAATATCATGGACTGATAGAATTACAAATAAAGAAGTACTGGAGAGGGTTGCTAAAGAAACAGAACTGATCACCACTATACAAACCAGAAAACTGGAATACCTAGACCACGTGATAAGGGGACCAAAATATGAAATTTTGAGGCTCATAATAGAGGGAAAGATTCAAGAAAGAAGATCTGTTGACCGAAGGCAGAACTCATGGTTAAAGAATCTACGTGACTAGTATCAATGCAGATCGATTGATTTGTTTAGAGCAGAAAGTTCTAAAATAAAAGTAGCTATTATGATTGCTAACCTGTGTAGGGACACGGCACTCTAAGAAGAAGAAGCGAAAACAATTATTTGCTTATGAATTGTCAATTTGCAACTTTTTCGTCCATATTATAAATATATGCTACCAGGTTTGTCAAATACGTTTAGCTTTTTAATGGTATGTCTCTATTTATGAATGTAGTCATCGACGGTTGTTTTATTATTTTTTTTTTGAGCTCGAGCCATATTCATTTGATCAGCTTTTCGACTAGCTACGTCTGGATACCTACACAAAAATAACTTAAGTCATATTCTACCAGCTTTATTCGAGTCTTTAGAAAACGGATTTGGTATGTGATTTGTTGTAGCGTAAGAAAACACACTTTTTATTAGAATCTTGCATTCCTACTTTAGCTAATCTCTAAATTCTTTCGAAAAGATCATTTTTTTTGCGCTGCAGATAACATCGGTGATCTTTCAAGCTTTGTTATGGGATTTTGTGTTCTGTGATCAAGACCTATCTGTGATGGAGGAGTGTTGTAACGTTTGGCAGCACCTTTGATGGACATTTCGTTCGCTATGAGTTGCAGCGCCGAGCGTAGATCCTCTTTTGATCACTCAGCTTGTTTTCTTGGCATTCTGCAAAAGAGTTTAATATTTAGTCCCTAATTCTGCAACTGGCAATATTAGGAATTATTAGAATAGTATTAAAATAATTCATGAAATTCATAAAAGAATAACTTAATTACATAATTAATTACAAAAATCCAGAAAATTTTAATACATCTTGCATAGGGTCAACGGGAAAACAGGTTTATTTATAACGCGGACACGAAAAACAATTAAACGGAAAATTATTGGCGTGACGATATTTTATTTAAATCCTAAAGATTTTTAGTTTTCATTTTTCATGTGCGGTGAAAAATTTTGTGCTCTGTGTAAATACATTTTTTAAGCCCATTATATTATGCTGACATGAATTCCTCTTTCCATATTTATGCTTGCCAGTAAGTTGGTTTATTATATCGCAGTTTTATTTCGCTTAAAGCGTTACTTCGCAGACAATGAATACCATTTCGAAATGTGTATATTGTGGTCTGTTAAAAATTAATTAAATTCTAAAAGTCGGATGTCCTCGTATAATGTTTTTAAATGAAATACATTGTCCAGACGAGCTTCGTTCGTTTCTGTATTTGTGCTCTTTCTCTCATTGTTTTGCATTTCGTTTTCCAGTTTGCTGAAATATTACAGTGGCCATCCATGCGGAATAATCCACTTTTATTGTTTGCAATTATTAATATATTTAACTGCATTACTGACTGACCTATGCGATATATTGTCATGTGTATAATTGCAGTTTTTGTTTCCGATTGTGCTTTATTAGTCTATTGTGCTTTTTATATTAGATTTTGTTTTGTTTTCGGTCAGACATTTGTTTTGTTTTTTGTATAATTTGACAATGAAATGATTACGCCCTATAAGTCAGAATGTATCGCGAAAAATTCGGTGTTTTGTTTGAATTTGTTTCATTTAAAACTGTGCAAACAATATATTGGAATATTTTTTTTACTGGTAATAATTATATTACATACTGCTATGGCCATAACGGAACTTAAGATATATGAAACGTTACGTTTCACAAAAAATAAAAGACTTAATAAGTTCAAAAAGACAATTAGTTTACAGACAGAATAAATAAATTCTACCTATATATACAATTTGATGTATGAGGTAAACAATTGATCAGATTTTCCTTCTCAGACAAACCTTAGAAAAGACATATGAATATGGAATTGATACCCATCACCTCTCCATAGGTTTTAAAAGTGCTTATGACAGTGTAGAAGAAGCGCACTTTAGAACTAGATATTCCGCCACATCTAATAACATTGGTAAAGGCAACTCTTTCGAAAATTGAGTGCAAAGTCAAGGTACAAAACAGAGTGTCAAGGTCTTTTCAAACACATACTGGATTACGTCAGGGAGACAGTCTATCGTGTCTATTGTTTCACATCGCGCTAGAAAGAGCCATAGAGAAATGGGGAATAACAACCAGAGGTACGATCCAATAGAAGTGTACAAATATTGGCCTACGCAGATGACACTGACATAGTAACACGGACAAAACGAGACCTGATATAGGATTTTGAAACATTAGAAAAAGGCCGCGAAGACAATGGGACTGCAGGTTAACATATCCAAAACAAAATACATGAAGGTCACGAACAGCAGACAAATAGCAACACCACAAGATCTGGTGACAGAAACACACACATTCGAAGGGGCCTCGGAGTTTATATATCATGGAACACAACTAAATAACAGCAATCTAGTAAGCGTAGAAATTAAAAGAAGAATATACCTATCGAACAGAGCTTACTTTGGACTAAAGCAGTTCTTAACATCACACATAATTAGCAGAAAAAGCAAGATACTAATACAGTGATGAGTGCTTTACAACCCGGCTTTTTAACGTAAGAGATAGAAACACAGTTACCTTGTGAAATAAAAAGAGATGAAATTCGTAGAGGTGGGAAATAATCGATAGAAACCTATAATTTACATTACATTGCATTAACACTATCGATAGTCTCACAACTTTAGACGTTAGCTTCGAGCTAAATCACCTCGGTCATAATTATTATGTGTGACGTATTTCAGTGACATTTTTTAATTTAGCATAAAGTAAAAAATGATTGACCACAATAAAGCAAAAATGTGAATAAAATAAATTAATTAATATTGATTGTTTAATCTAAAATTTTAAATTATTAACCAAGAATAATTTCTACTATGATTTGAGGAGTTTCATACACTCTTGTTACGAAAATAAACATCAGTCCTTCGTGGATTAGTGGTAAGAATTCGACACTGCGACGCAGACGATTAGAGTTCAAAACCCACATGGTTTGTGCAATATAATCAAGATGATACTGCAGCAGCTTAAAAAATACTTAGATATAGTTTTATAAGCGTGTGCTCCTCAGGATATTCGATTTCCTTAGGGAAATAAGGAAATTCACTATATTTTCTTTAAAATCATAATACAAATATTGAATAACCTGTTTAAATTTTGTTTGTACTCTAGGCAATTATAACATCCTTGTATATGACAAGAGATGTAATCAATAAATAACTTATGTAAAAATAATTTGGTACATTTTATTCCACATCATAATAATTTTTAATGCAAACATTAACTGTTCAACCTCATAAAAGCATATGTATTTACAAAATCAGTTTTTGTGTTTAAATAATACATTTAATTAACCATTGTGTTATGAATAATGGGTATGGGTTTCCATAAAAAATTTAACCGCAGGTCATATGCCATTTTGTTTGTGAACAAAATGTATTTTCGGTAGAAAGTCAATTACGGATACTGACACAATATCAAAAATCCAAATAGGAAGCTGACGCTAAATTAACAGCTTTTTTAATAACAAACAAAATCGTACAGGCGGCCAAATTGGATATGATATAAATTAAATAGGATAAACAACCAATGCCAAAAGGTGTACCATAAATACTTAATATGTAATATGAATATTTTTTTACAACTCACAATTTACGTTTCTAAGAAAGCCTTTAGTCAAACAGAATAAATTAGAGCAGGTGGCAGAATACATATACCTAGGACAGATAATAAAGCTGAACAGGGACAATCAAACAGACAAAATAAAAAGAAGATGGACTTTCACAAAGGAGAACATCGACAGGATATCCAAAACACAAAGGGCAATGGAAAGACAGATGCTGGGTATCGGTCTTAAAGACAGGAAAAGAAACTCATGGATCAGACAAAAAACAAAGGTGAACGATGTATTAAGACAGGTTGCAAAACTTAATTGGAACTTCGCCGGTCACACTCTCCGGCAAAAAAATGAAAGATGGAATAATCTAATCAAATTCTACACTGGAGACCATGGGAAAACAAAAGAAAAAGAGGAAGACCACAGATGAGATGGACTGACGATCTTAAGAGAACGGCAGGAAAGGACTGGATTCAGATCGCCCAAAATAGAGACCATTGGAGATTAACAGGGGAGGCCAATGCCCAAGAGTGGGTGTTTAAGGCTGATTAGATAGATAGATAGATAGAAGAAAGCTTTACTTCTTCTTCTTCCCCTTTTTAAGCAATTTTGCTTGTTCATTGGCGAATTAATACCTCTATGGAAGGTTGTCACTTCATCTTTTTCTCGGTCATCCGATACTTCTTTTCCCGATTCGTGACATCTCTTGCTATTTTGACGACATGGGTCTTCTCCATTCTGCAAGCAGCATCAAATAATCAAAATATCGTACGACAGGTCTGAATTCTCATGTAAGAGTCCTCACATGAGGGTTTAAAGGTTAAAAATTTAGTACATGAAATCACTATTTTGTTTTCTTTAACTCTAATTAAATTAAGTACATGTCAAACCCTTCATATACTTTAACGTCTTTTACTTGTTGCAGATTTTGTGTGGGAGATCGATTTTATTTATGCGAAAATAAAATCCTCTGTGAATACGACTACGAGGAACGTCTAGTTTTTGCAAATATGGCCTATAACCCACCGCCGCTTTCTCATCTGAAACGCCAGACATCGATTCCACCTGTAAGTAAATCTTTTATGTATTTATCAGATAACCGTATGATAAAATGAATTTTTTATGAGAAAAAACAATTTTCTCGGTTTTTCCTCATGTTTATTTTATAAATAACTAGATAATTCTATTTTTCAATTTATTTGTGGTAGGTTTGTTATTGAGTCAATTATTCTTTTATTTATTCTATTTACATTTATCAGTTGTATATCATATACCTTTTCATTACCAGCATTTCCTTTGTTAACAAAAATGTTTGCTACTTTCATTAGTTTGAATGTAAATGGTAGATATATTGTGGTTTGAACATACAGCCAGTCTAAAAAAGACCCGTCCCTATCGTTGTTCCTCCATTTTCAATTCGCAAGTGTCTTGAAAAGGACAGCGGCATCATATTAGAAAACGCCAGGTAAAACCACTCATTTTCGTACATTAGTATGGACCAGATGTATCATTGCAAGGCCTAAGTTCTATAGGTTAAAAGAACTTACGGCGGAGGAGGTATTTATCAAATTTATCAAAGCCATTGCTACTCTTATCTTCATTTCCAGGTCACAGTTCCACTTGCTGTTTAATGTAGCTCCATGGTATTTAAATGTTTTAACCCGTTCAATAGCTCTCTTATTTGTATTTAACCGAGCTGAGCTTTCTTTCTCACTTCCCTTGTGATATTCACTATATCTTGGTATATGCTCCTCTATATTGTTCTCTATTACAGCCGTATCATCAGACACGTTCTGACACCCTGTTTGACCAACTCAGTAGCAACGGTTTCTACACAATAGCCTATGTCGACGATATTGCTGTCCTGCAAAGCAGTAAGTTTGAGAACACACTATGTGAGAGATTAAAAGTTGCTCTCCGACTAATACGAGTAGAAACATGGTGCAGGAAACTATCTATAAATTCTTAAAATACGGAGATGGTCCTCTTCACCAGAAAAAGAAGAATCACGGGCTTAATACCCTAAAGAATTTTCAACTAGAATTCCTTAACAGGAAGTTAACATGGAATTCACACTTAGATAGTAGAGCTAAGAGAGCATATATGCCTATGAGCAATGCCGACGAACGGCTGTGGTCTTTCGTCCAGGGTGATCGGGTGGGTCTACACTACTCTCATTTGGCCAATGCTAACTTACGGAGCTATTGCATGGGTACCAAAACAGGTAACAGGTGCCATGAAAACAACACCAACTGCTGCAATGGAGTTGGTCATTAGCATCACGCCTCTGAACATAAATATCAAAGAGGTGCCGCTTGTGACAATGATGCCACTGCGCTCAGCTAGTGCAAACCTTGATGTAGGAATGGGACAATTAAAAACTCGTTTCTGGAGGGGAAAGCTGGATGCGCTACTTCTGCTACAGGCAGGCTACGACTCAATTGAACCAAAGTTTGTCTTTGACGAACCCTACAAAAACCGAAACAAGACAGTATAGAGAGACAAATGTGGCAAATATGTATTGCATATACACCGATGGTTCCAAAATGGAAAAAAGCTCAGTATGCGGGATATACTCCATATCACTGAACCTAAGAATAAAGTGGGGTATGGGCAAAAATGCCAGCGTAGTTCAGACAGAACTGGTTGGTATCTCCATAGCCGCAAAAGAGATATCCCAAAAAGGTATAGCCGGGAAAACTATAATACTATAAAACTATAATCTGCACAGATAGCAGACAAGCGCTACTCACTTTGAATAGACCACGTGTCACATCAGGGTTACTAATGGAGTATCACGAGTCACTAACTCAAGCTTCGGATGCTAATACCATTAACCTGAGGTATGTTAAAGGACACAATATGAATAAAGGCAACCGCATTGCTGACTAATTGGCTAATAAAGCGGCAGGCCTAAGATTCTTAGGACCTGGGGATCTTTTTGGTTAGTCAACTACAACAATCGCAGAAATTGACAAATATCACTCCCATACGCAAACGCTGAAAAGATAGGAAGAAGGGCAAGGATATATAATTGCCAGGCTAACACTAAGTAACCTCGAAAATTCAGCATCAAAGAAGTACTTGGTAATGACCAGGAAAAACCTACGCTTGACAGTTGGTTTTACAGGTCATTGTCAACTAAGCAAATACCTTCAGACACTGGGGCTAGTAGACCGCCTCTATGCAGGAAGTGTAAACTAGAAGATGAAACTGTAGAGCATGTCCTATGTGAATGCCTGGAGTTATCGCTAACACGAGAGTACGCGTTCGGCGAGTCCTGGCCAACACCTGCCCACATAATTGTGGGTAACTTGTCCATCTTCCTAGAAATGGCAATATGGACAATGAGCTAAGGACGACAGCTCCCTGAGAGGATGTACAATGGGTCAATTGTACCCTAAGTGCTGTGGAACTCAACTCGCCCTCCCTACTTTAAAGATACCGAGATACCTTTACTACATAAATGTTGAACAATAGTGGGTAGAGAATACAACCCTGTCTGACGCCTTGCCTTATCTCCACTTATTCTATGTATAGGCTGTTGGTGATCCTTAGTTCCACTTTTTGATTTCAAAATTGTATTTAATGTCTTTTGGTAAGCAAAGAAGTAAATAAAAACACCTTTTTTGGTTGGAGCATTTCTGCACCAGTTAATTTATGCAAAAAAGTGCCTTTCTTCTTCTCGAGTCATCTTTGAAAACAAATTCAGTGTCTCCGGTTCTTTTTTCACATTTGTTATAAATTCTTCTTCCTCTGGACCGTCTTTAATGCATGGTTCATTAAGCTAATTAAACGGTGTTTTTCGTAGCGACTGGCATTGTGTTTTTTTGTATTGCCACGAATGTTGATTTCAGCTAATCTGCTGATGTTTGTCCCGTGTTCAATATGTTGTTTAATGCCAAATAGCCTAAGCATTATTGCATTTATACCATTTGGTCCAACTGCATTATGTTTTTTTAAAGTAGAGATTGTGTTTGTCTTTTAATGTTGGTAGCCCAGTTAATTCTATGTTTCTCTCATAAGCACTTACTTTACGATTTTCATTGAAAATATCTATAGTATGTAAGTTTACCAGTTTTCACATATTTCATTTTGGAAATACAATGCTGTTTTTCGTTATTTTTGAAAAGCTGCAGAATATGGTGGAATAGTGGGTGGACTAGATGAGGTAGGCCATTAACCATCTCTTGCTATCTCAGGATCTTATCTTTGGAGTGCGAAGAATTTGGAGTATCTCGTTTTTTCAATCTTTATTGATGACACGCTATTTATAGCTCATAGTGAATTATTTATATAGTACTTCTGCATTTATGTAGGATTCGTATGGTGATCATTGACTATCCTAACTGAAGATTCTTCTTCTTCTTCTCGTGCCACTCCTAGCGGAGATTGGAAATCATCATGTCCAATGCGAGTTTGTTAGCAGCGCGCCTAAAAAGTTCAATCGAACTACACCCGAACCATTCACGTAGATTACGAAGCCACGATATTTTTCTTCTTCCCACACTTCTTTTGCCCTTAATTTTGCCCTGCATGATGTTTCTTAAAAGTTCGTACTTTTCACCTCTCACAATGTGCCCCAAGTATTCCATCTTTCTAGTTTTTATCTCATTTAGAATTTCGCATCTTTTGTCTAAAGTTTGGAGTACTTGCGTGTTAGTGACGCGGTCCATGCATGATATTCTGAGATTGCGCCTATTTACAGGATGTAAACTGAAGATTACATCTGTTTAATTACAAAGAACCGACCAACCAAACTATATTTCTATTATTAAGTGCCACTATTTCTTCCTGTTTACTTATTTATAATATTAAGATTCTATTAAAGATCAATTAGTTACTAGGCCAAGTATGTTAATAAACTCTGAATTAAATCTGAAGCTGAATCTACAAGGTTAACTAGGGTTTTGATTTTTTTATTGAAAAACAATTATTTATTGCAATAGAATATTTTTAATACTTCTAATATTTTTGGATTTCTATTTTTATCTGAGTATTTTTAACTCTTTACATGAAATTAAATTCTTTTCATAAAATACAAATAAACCATATAGTTAAAGAGACAATCTGTATAATATCTTTTAAAAGTTAAACTTAATGGTAGTAGAAAATAATTTTGTGCTTGGTTTTCTCATTACTCTGTGAATTTGTAAATTTCCGGTATTGTAGAAACTGTCTCGTTTTCTTCTTAAACGTTTTCGGAGATTTATTTTAAAAATAATGAGGTGTCTGTATCTATGTACAAAAAGAAATTTGGTTTACTTTAAAGAAAAGCTCTTGTTATATTTTTACTGGTAGAATAAGAAATAAGCGATATGAGATTTCACCAGTTTTATAACTAAATTTGAACTGCAAAATTAGTATAATTAACATTAATATAGTATGTAATGATTATTAAATCGGTTTTGTGCTGTTTTTTGTTTGTTGGAGAACACAGTGAGCACGTGGGATATTACATTGTATTATTAAGAAGGGGTGTTAAAATAAATAGTTGTATATTCGTTAAACAATTATTAGGATTTTCATTATAAAAGATTTTAAAATTTTCTTTATATTATTTAATCGAAGAAGAAGATGAAACCAAAAGATTACTGCAAAAACGAAGAAAATTTAACAACCGCTAATATTATTCTTACTCATACTTTTGCAAATCCAATAAAGCAATATGAAGACTATCAAAAGTAATAGATGGTAGAGTATGCATATATCTATTATCTAAAAGCCTAGTAGATAAATTCATAGCAGAAACAAAGAAGATAATAGGAAATGGAAAAATACTAGAAGCGAGAAGATTAATAACTCTATCAGTCCGCTAAATTATCTCCAGTGCATATCCAAGCATACCTTCTAACTTAATAATGGACGAGTTAATAGAACTAGGTTGAAATCCTCTCTCAGACATATCATACCTACGGATAGGAGCAACCGATCCTGCCTTCATTCATATTCTAAGCTTTCGAAGACAAATTTTCGTTTCAGCTTTTTCAGACAACTTTGTACTGCCTTAATCTTTTATCATCGAATTGGAACAAACATCATACCGCATATTTATAGCCCAAAACGAAACATATTTTAAATGCAAATTCATTGGACACTAATTGCTCAAATATTTCACCTTCTTAGCATCCTCACAATGATAGTGCAATGCAAACAGAAATGAGACAAAAGTCATCAATAAATCATAAATCAACAAGATAATCTACAAAATACTTTCACAATCTCAAATGCCACTCCCTCCATACTTACTACGTCTTCTCAAACTACATTACAAACAGTAGCAATCCCAAATTTAGCAATAAACCATTCCCAACAATGCTCACTACAAAATACTTCTATACATTTGACCACTTCTTTAGTTAACACTACAATCACAACACCTACATCGTCTGAGTCATCCTCTAATACCCAAAAACATAAATTAACCCCACTCAAAACAAGTCAACACTTACCTCCAAATAAAAATACACATATGAATTCTCACGAACCCTAGATAACTTCGAACAAAGCAGCCGAAAAAAAAACCGTAGAAGATGCAATCACACCACCTGCCGAAGAAAACGTTGAAAACCCTAAGCTTCAATTAAAGAAAAAAACCAAAACTGATGACAAAAACTTAAGAGATGAGTACCAAATCTTCAAACAGTACAAGAACCAGTAAGAGAATATGTAGAAAGTGTAAAAGCAATTGTTAAGATTGTTAAGAAGACTCCCATGCACTTATAAAGTTTCTAACGGAATTACATCCATACACCGACAAAAGAATGAAAACCAAAAGCACCAAATGAATACGAAAACTTGGCAAACACATGGTTTACTCTCTGCAGTGAAAACTTCATTGTCGGAAGAAGACTTCGACTTATCGGTAAATAATTCCTCTAACGAATAATTAGATGACTGTTGACTTCATGTTTGTTTCATCACATTCAGGTATACAAGGAAATGAAGAAGCAGATAAACTAGCCCACTTAGCATCCTTTAGCCAGGACTATTAATAATGAGGTTTCTTCTGGTGACTTCAAGTCAGAAATAAAATATAAAGTGTTGAGTGCGTGGCGAGATAAGTGGAGTGCATTGCAAGGTAAACTCAAGGAAATTGAACAATTAGTAAAACCGTGGCTCCAACCCACAACGAATAGACATGACCAAGTGAGAATAGCGCGTTTGCGGCTGGGACACAGTGAATTGACACATAAAAGATTATCATGTTAAAATAGGATTGGGTAGGATACGTAGGACAAATGAAAGACAACCGTTGGACGAAGGGAACTATTGAGTGGCATTCTATAACAAATAAGAGAGGTAAAGGCAGACCTCAAACATTAAGCAAATAGCTGGTCACGAATCGATGTAAAAGGAAACGAACAGAAATGAATTTTTATACCTAAGGGAGGCGTAGATCCTGGATATGGATGGAATAGCTGTTGATAATGATAATTTTGTTAAGCTGCTCTATAGGACAGAACTAGAAATTTGTGTCAGTAAAAAAATTTCTTATACTATGAAACATCGCGAACTTAATATAAAAAATATCATATTTTTAGCATATATTCAAACATTGCTTTATGCATGAGAATATATTGATATTAAAGAGCTCAGAATATAAACAATCCAATGAAGACATATTTTCGTTCTACTTGAATTTTTCTAAAGAAAATGTTCTATGTATACAGGTGAGTCATGAGGAACTTTACATACTTCTACCATATGTAGAGTCCCTCAGGGAGCATATCATGTGGCCACTAAAAAATGTCAACTCCTCTTCTTTATTAATTAACAGGGTGATTTGTGTAATTGACCATTTATTTCATTTTACTGTAGTGTTTATACGGCTCATTTGATTTTTTTAATTTTTGCATGATACAGTACACTACTATCAAGCATTCGACTGGTATTAGCTAAACTAAAAAAGTCCAGGACTGGTTTTGGAAAAATTAATTTAGGGATTCGTATTAAATGTTACACCCTGTATATATTTTTTTTTAAATGCAATAAGTGATTTTCAAACTACATATATAGCCAATGAAAACGACATATGCGACAATGTTGTCGCACTTTTATTAACTTTTTAGTGAACGATCAAATCTTACCAAAAATAGAACAACCATAATGAAGTATCAAATTTAAAGGTATTAATTTAAACAAATGTTATAAATTTCAAACATTATAATTAAAATGAGTTCCTACAACATCATCTAATACGTAGAAAATTAACATCTTTACTGTCACTTTGTATTATCTCTACGATAGAATCAATTGTTTTTCAATTTTAAATTTTTACTCATAGATCGTATTGGGGCATTATTTTCGATAAATAATAAATTAAATTTATTAAAAAGTCAAACCTCGTGTATGTGTTAGTTTTTGTTGGTTGTAAATGATTAAAATTTTATGTCAAATAATAATACATTGCATCAACTGTACTAAATAAAAATAAATCTAAAAAAGTTTAAAATGAAGGTTGGCGTTGACCGTTTGACGTTTCTTGATATTTTATACCTATTGTCATTATTGTCATTATCAATTGTTATTTATGTGTACAAGAATACATATTTCTTCTGTCATATCTACGTTAAGTACATTGTGTTATTTTTGTTAGAGCATTTGTTACTTTCGTTCAAAATGCCACATCAGTTTTCGACCACAGACAATGCAGACATAATATTTGTTTATGGATTCTGTAATGGGAATGGTAGGGCTGCTAGTAGAGAATATCGCAGGAGATTTCCTAATCGTCGAACTCCCAGTCATCCAACATTTGGGTCAGTTGTTAATTATTTTCGAGAAAATGGCACTTTTCCTAGTGGAACAACAGAGCGACATGTAGATGAAACGCAGGAAGATGACATTAAGGACGCCGTTACTATAAACCCTACAATAAGCACTAGACAAGTAAGTCGAGAACTCAATGTTACTCAATCAAAAGTAAGTCTTACAAAAAAATAATCTATACCCATATCACATTCAAATGGTTTAGAGACTACATGCTGGAGATGAGATCGGTATGTTGGAATTTTGTAGATGGATTAACAATAATCGACCAACGGTATACAGGACACTATTTACAGATGAAGCCCAATTTACCAGAGACGGGATAAATAATTCACGAAATTCACATGTGTGGGCAGAAGAAAATCCCCATGCTATTCGAGAACGTCGTTCTTAGTTTTCGGTTAACGTGTGGATTGGTGTCATAAATAACCAATTAGTAGGTCCTCACTTTTTTTATGGTCCTTTAACAGGGCAGGTCTATTTGAACTTTCTACAAAATATTTTGCCGAATTTGCTTGCCAACGCGAACGTTACTATCCGAGGGATGTATTTTCAGCATGATGGGGCACCCCCTCACTTTTTACTGGCAGTGAGACAACATCTCAATAATGTTTATGGCAATAGGTGGATAGGACGTGCAGGTCCTATTTCGTGGCCTTCAAGATCCCCTGATTTCAATCCCGTTGATTACCATATTTGGGGACGATTAAAGCAACTAGTTTACGCAGTGAATATTAATAACCGACAACAATTAATTGATAGAATTATACATTGTTGTAATACTATTAGAAACGATCCCCAGAGTATCCGTAATTCAATACGTCAATTAACAATTCGGCAACAAAAATGTGTACAGGCTGCATTGTTCCATTTCGAAAATTTATTTTGAATTATTTTTATTTTGTTACCATTATTGTATCTTTTCCAGTTCTAATTTATGGGTTTATCATAACTATGTACATATTTTTAGTTTTTTTTTTAAATTGTTCTTCGTTATTGTTAGTAGTTACTGTTTTTTGTTGTCCAGTGACTCAGTTTATCATTTCAATTAAAATGTTTGAAATTTATAACATTTGTTTAAATTAATTACCTTATAATTTGATACTTCATTAGGGTTGTTCTATTTTTGGTAAGATTTGATCGTTCACTAAAAATTTAATAAAAGTGCGACAACATTGTCGCATATGTAGTTTTCATTGGCTATTTATGTAGTTTGAAAATCACTTATTGCATTTTAAAAAAAAATATATACAGGGTGTAATATTTAATACGAATCCCTAAATTAATTTTTCCAAAGCCAGTCCTGGAATTTTTTAGTTTAGCTAATACCAGTCGAATGCTTGATAGTAGTGTACTGTATCATGCAAAAATTAAAAAAATTAAATGAGCCGTATAAACACTACAGTAAAATGAAATAAATGGTCAATTACACAAATCACCCTGTTAATTAATAAAGAAGAGGAGTTGACATTTTTAGTGGCCACATGATATGCTCCCTGAGGGACTCTACATATGGTAGAAGTATGTAAAGTTCCTCATGACTCACCCTGTATATGGTAGTTGTAGTACATAACTTTAATATATTGAGTTTTTTAAAAAGAAATAAAATCAAAATAATATGAATTTTATTGTTTCAGGTATCTCTTCCAAATCATCTTATAAACGGACATCGTCCACAAGTACCGTCGTCAAATGGCGACCTCAACAACAACATGTCTGGTTCCGGTCAGCCCCCACCTAGTTCGATAGCGAATCAAAATTTTCAAACCGTTGGCCATTTAAAGAACGGTTCTCTTTCGTTGGGAGCCGCCAGCTGAAAGTATTAATACTGTGATTAAATGTTTTTATTTTGTTATAGTTCAGTAAAAATCGAATAGACCAATGTAAACAAATCAAAAAGCGCAAAATTTTAACTTGTTGTTCTGCATATTTATTTTAAACAATAACAATCAGTGCTAATATTTTTTAGTGACTCTAAAGAGAACCAATAATTTTAGCAATATTTTGTGCTGACTTTAATGTAGAATATTTGTGTGAATTCAGACAGTGAGACTCTTCTCTGCAGGGGTTGCATTTTCACGTTAAAGAATGTCAAGTTATAATTTAAATTTGACGTGTTTCGGGATTTTTTTATAAATATGTACAGTAACCTAAATAATGAATTTATTCCATTTGGCTTTTACACACTGTATGTAAGCCCAGAACCACCCAGTAAGCAAACTTTACCTTTCTTAAACCTTAATAAATGAGACCTCCTTTAATAAGATATCAAAATATTTATTTGGACTGTCTCAAAATAATCCCATTATATTTTATAAGAGAGTTGTGGGCAGTTAAGTGGACTCTTTATCTTATTTCTGAGCAGATTTATTTAGGGACGATCTTGAAAATAAATTCATACGACTCGGGGTCAATTGGTTGAAAGTAAATCGGTCAAATTTATTGTTGGAATTTTTGGAGGTGAATCGGAATCAAAAGGACATCTAAAAATAGTAATGGCGAAATATATTGTCGTCCCAAACATCCATAAAAGTAATATTTTATAGAGTTCTCTATGATAACGGTTAATTTTATAGAATTGTTCACTGGATCGAGATTTCACTACAATAGAAAAGTTAACAGAGTGTTAGTAAATAAATCTACGTTATTAGTTTAAGGTTCATTGTTTTGGGATTTATGAGATATAAAGTTATATAGATAAAATGGTGCAAACTTACTCAAATTTAAAATCAAAGTAAACGATAGCTCTTCGGGTAGGATGTCCTTTTAAATAAGCAGTTTTATTGAGTATATCTGATCATGACAGTCAGAAAGATCGCAATTACTTATACTTACTTATCCGTGGCTTTACAGAGCATATTCTGCTTGCTGTTCATCTCGCCATTTATCTCTGTGGTTTGTAAGACGTTTCCACATTGACCCTGCTGTTCTTTTAACATCGCCTCTCCAGCGCATTTGCCGTCTTCCTCGTGGTCTTTTGGCTTTATATGGCCGCTATGTTCTACACTATCAAAAGCTTTTTCATAATCTATAAAAGCCAGACATAATGGGAGATTGTATTCGTTAGTATTTTCCATTAGGATTTTCAAAGTAAGTATATACATGGTCACAGGTGCTGTACCCTTTTCTAAATCCTGCTTGTTCTTCTGATTGATATCCGTCAAATTTAATTGTTAACCTGTTTGTAATAATCTTTGTAAAGGTTTTGTAAAGTTGTGAAAGAATTAAAATTGGTCGATAATTTTTTTTTTAGGTCTGTGGTGTCTCTCTTTGCTTGCTGTTTACCACATCCCAATCGCTATTTCCTCTTATCGTATATATCTTCTTCAGTGAGGTCTCTGTTATTATTTAACTGTTTCACTGTAGTCTAGAAGGTCCTTTTTCCTCCTATTTGGTTTTCTTGTCTCGTTCATCCTTCGCATATGTTCATACCAAACAGTTTTTTTTCACATTTAGTGTCTCTTTCACATTCATTAGTTTTGGTTACTGGTTTTGATCCATTATGGTAACAACTTAGACTGTGGGCTTGTTACAATTTGTTCATTTCTCACTTTGTCCATTAGTAATAATCTGCAGCTTTTTTTCCAAAACAGCATTTCAAAAAGATCACAATTATAATAAAAATTAAATCTAAGACCGATATAATTATTAAATTATCATGTGTCTTTTAACAGGTATCTTATAGTTGTCTAACAAAATAAAGTAAAATTTTATGTTATTATAGGGTACCTAATACAGTACTTCAAAAAACAGAAATCTTTAAAAAAATACTTATGTTTTCATTAGACTAAACAATCTGAAATTTTAACATACAATCTCGTCGTTACATTTCATTCTCTATTTATAAAATTGCTGTCTGCTATAAACGTTATATTTGTTTGTTTTAACTTGATTTAAATTAATTTAGTTATTTATTTAAACTACAAGAAACTTTTATAACTGATGAAAAACATCTTTAGTTGAACCGTGCTTTTCTTTGGTTGGTGCATAGTCGATAGTATCGAGATGTTACATAATTTTTCTCGAAATCTCATTTATGTAACAAATAAATGTATAGATTCCATCCCGAAAAAAAAATAATATGATAAAAGTTTGAGTTTATTGTTTAACCAGTTATGAGGAATTTAGATCATGTTAATCGTGGGAAAAGTAACATCAATAGTATTATGAAAAGATGTAATCTCTCTCCAATGGCGTTACAGCCCAAGTAAAGCCCAATATTTGCCACCAAGCATCCCATTTTGAATGCTCCAAATGTTGCTGAGAAAATTAAAAAATGTGTTTTTGTTCCAGTCTCAGAGAATGCATTACCAAGTAATAGCTTCATCTATGAGAAATCATATATTTTCGATTATGTAGAGGGGTAAATGCAGAAGTTGCCTTCTACAGTAAAATTTTGTTCGTCTTCTTGAAGTTTCTAGCTAGGAGATCAACGCTAATAAATACATAGATAATCATAAAGCTAGAGAGGTGATTGATGTAATGATTTAAAGAGTTGACGACAAGTAATATTGGTATAATTAAAACAACATAAAAATATGTACGTATTTTTTAATAAGGCGAAATTTAATATTTTATAGCCATTGTCGTACTATAATCCAGTAAGAAAATATTATTGTAAATAATAACATTGGTTTATTCGTTTATTACGGGTTAGTAGTAAGTTGTATATATTAAAACAGGTTGTAAATTAATGCTCAAAATGTATACCACTATCAAAAAATTGTGCAATATCATGTGTTAGGATTTTCAAACATTCCACTACTGATACATATAGAGTTTTTGACTAAATTTGGATAAATTGGTTAATCAGCGTTAATGTAATGAATATATATTTACTTTTTTATATAAAGTTTTCACTATTTACAAATTTTTCACGCAGTACTAGACTAGGTACATCTAGTGTCGTTTTTTGGAGCTATTGAGGTTACCGTGGCTACAACATAGTTAACCAGGTATTCTAAACCAGCTGAAGTAGTATTGTGTGCTGATCTTCTTCCAGCAAATCATCAGTGATTTCATTTTTGTCTATTTCCTGATGACCTAGCGCCCATACAATATGACACCGTTTGTTCTCACATTAATTTCTCTTGTCGGTTTCATAAATTCGGTTGCTCTTCCACACGTTCCGTTTAATGCTATAGTATCTTTTTGGATGGGCTTAGACATACTCCACACAGATATAATGCAATAACGCAAGATCTCGGCTGCTAACCTTAGTTGTATTCGCGTTTAATTTTTAAGTCTTTGTCGGAACCATTCTAGAGCTGCATAGGATGGGTTGTGCAAGCGAGTACATTTCAATAATATTCTAGATAGAATCATAATAAATTTACTAATAAACACCAACACTTACCGACTAAATAAAATGGGAATTTAGAATTTATTCTAACCTCAATTGTTCTTGATAAAGAGGTTATGAGACACATATACTACCTAGACAGCATGCTGCAATTTAAACCCATTCCTTCAGTGCGATAGAGAAAAAGTCCTTGCATACGAGCAGTTGTTGCATCTTATTCTAATGGCCAGGGTTTATCCACAACGTGACCTTCCCATTACCATCTCCAGTGGAAAGGTCAAGTGGTCGAAAAACGTTATCCGTTAGAAAGAGGTACAAGGTCTACTCGAATGCATGGACTTTTTCTCTGTCGTACTGGGGAACTAGTTTAGATTGCAGGGTGCTGTCTAGGTATTGTATGTATATGTTTCGGAAACAAATTTTTTACTCAAATGTATCAAAATTCGATTAAGTTTATTTTTATATAAATCAAGGGTAGCTTCAAGATGATTTTAGGTCAAATTTGAAAATACTTCTGAACAAAACCGAAGGTGGTTATTTAAATTGACAGCGGCTCTGAAACCGTTTTTAAAAATTCCGAAATATTTTTCTTGCGCATGAATCGTCTCCTACAACATGCGAATAAAGTAAAACACGAATAAAGCTGACAGGTCTTTTGAGTTTACACTCCATTGTTTTCCTCCTTTTTGCACTACAGTCAGTTATACTGTTGCCAAATGACTTGTTGTATATCTTCTAGTAAATATTGAAAATATTCGTATTTTCGTTATTTTGCTATACATAATGATATAGTCAGCTAACAGAATCCTGATTCAGGTTCTTAAAACCTATTTGGAACAGAGTCAGAGTCAGAGATCGATATCGCTTCGTCAGCTTAGCAGATTTATTTTACGTTGTTTTTCTTCCATTTGGTATCCTTTTTTAGTTACTTCTTTTTTATTATTTCATTCATGACCAGGATGAACGACTCAGGGAATCTTCCCGTCTTATTCCATTGCCAGCCCTAATTGGGTCAGTTAGTTCTTCTTCTACTTTTACTTTTATTGTGTTGTTTTGGTAGGTATTTTCGATCGTTTTTATTATTTCTAGAGCAATCACTCTTCAAATGCTTCTTAGGGTTCACCAAACATAGATATGTCGGTTTGTTGTAGTCTAATGATTTCTCTTGCACTTCTTCTTAGAGTGCCATATCCCTATGGAACGTTGACGACTACCATGCTTATAATATTATTATACTGATCTCGGTCTTGGGCTACGTGTAGCAATTGGTCCGCTGTCAAACCTGTCCACTGCCGCAAATTCCTCAACCAAGAGAGTTTCTTCCGTCCTATCCATTTCTTTCCTTCGATTTTACCGTTGAGAATTAGCCGAAGGAACTCATATCTTGGTTCTCTGATTATATGTCCAAGATATTCTAGTTTACGCCTCTTAATAATATTTAATAGAGTTCGTTGATGTCCCATTCTTCGAAGAACTTCTTCGTTTCTGGTTCTGCTAGTCCATGGAATTTTTAGT